AGTTGTTCTAGGCTTAAGAATTATAGTTTTAGAGTATGAGACTCGTAGCGTCATCCGTTCTCCGAAAATTCGTAAAAAAATCGATTTGACAGTATTCAACGTCAAGAGTTGTGCTAGGCTTAAGAATTATAGTTTTAAAAATTGGCGGAAATAATTACAAAATGTCATGACAAAATAAAGTGAAATTGCTTCGTCGTTTAAGCCTAGTATAACTCAGAACAAAAAGATCTCAGTTGGAACAAGAAAGGAAGCATGTGTTTTCTCTTGACGTCGGGTGCTGTCAAATCGATTTTTTTTCGAATTTTCGGAGAACGGATGACGCTACGAGTCTCATACTCTAAAACTATAATTCTTAAGCCTAGCACAACTCAGAACAAAAAGATCTCGGTTGGAACAAGAAAGGAAGCATGTGTTTACTCTTGACGTCGAGTACTGTCAAATCGATTTTTTTACGAATTTTCGGAGAACGAATGATCTTATGAGTCTCATACTCTAGAACTATAATTCTTAAGCCTAGAACAACTCAGAACAAAAAGATCTCGGTTGGAACAAGAAAGATAGTATAAGTTTACTCTTGGTCCGATAGACTGTTTGTCAAAAAACTTTTTTTTAATTTTTCGGGCTTATAATTAAACTTATTGATTTGTGCTTTTGGAACAATGTTTGGAACAACTAGAACAATCTATTGTGGTATCAGAATGTTCGATTTTCGAAAAGTGGGGTGCATATATTTATACACATACAAGTTATTAAGTTGTAAGCAAAGTCATGTAACTATCTATCCTATATCCCCAGGACTGGTTGTCACACGTCTGTCATGTAAAGGAAACAGATTATTTCTGTTTTGAGCTCTATAGGACCTTACGCAAATTTACTATTGTGACATGTATAACAACATCGGAAGTATGCTTCTATGCCTTTGTGTAAGTCACGTCATAGTTACGTGACAGACTTGCAACGTGTGCTAACTAATTTCACTTAATTTGAGTCAACTTAACTCGAAAGATAATTTGGAATAAAACATATATTTATAAATTATGTTGCAATAATTGTTAACTAAATACAGGAAAAACTAGCTAAACTATTTTTACAACTAAAACTAAGATTGCGAACGGGCATTCCAAAACCAACGGGTCAATAAAAATAGAAACAAGAAAAATTTACTGCGTTCAATTTTGAAAAAATGCTTGTAAATATCACATGCGATGTTTCTATCATAAGCCGTTTTGTACACCCCCCAACTAACATGATACAAACAACCTATCCTATAAAGAAAAACATGCTCCTCCATTTATGGTGAGATATAAGCTTTGTGATAACTGACCCGCGTGTAATTTCTGGATCCAGTCTCCCCTACACATAGAAAACTGCTCTATGGTTGCTACATTCACACATATTCTATATATATATTGGAGAGAAAATTTATGATTTCTAGTTAAATAGATATGGCATTAAAAGTTGCTGTTGTTACATGTCCATCTATATAATTCGCCATAGTTCTCATAATACGTAATGTTCAATTAACACTTCATACATACAGAGTGTCCGGTAACTCACAAAGAAGCCGCGATATACAGGTAGATTAGGCCAAATTGAACAAAAAATTCCTGTACCATTTTGTAAACAACCACATACAATTTTGAGTTATTAATCAAAGAAGATTTATGAATGATTACGCACTATACGGTAGATGAGTCATGATGGCGACGTTTGCCGCTGTACGCTTGTTGTTAGATCAAACTGAACAAAAAAGTCTTCTACCATTTTCCAAATAACCATGTACATGTTTAGTTGTTAATTAAAAAAGATTGGTGTGCGCACAACTGTACCCCAAACTTCTTTAATTAATAATTAGATTAAACATACGTGAAAAATAGAAAATAGAAAATTTGGAAAATGGTGAAGAAATTTTTTGTTCAATTTGACCGAATATACAAGTATACAGCGGCAATCGTCGCCATCACAATTCATCTACCGTATGGCGCGTAATTATTCGCGAATCTTCTTTGGGTAATTTAGAATTTTACGTGGTTGTTCGCAAAATGATAGGGGAATTTTTAGTTCAGTTTAACCTAATCTACCTCTACTTCTCTGTGAGTTACGGGACCACCCTATATAGTTGTCTCAACCGAAGGAATATTGCTATCTCTCTGTTGTGACCTGCGAAACAATGGTTGAGAGATCCGTAGGGTTTGGTTATGTCATACATCACTGAGAGTATCGCTCAAACATGTATCGACAGGTAACAAAAAAAGCTAGTGTACCATTTCCAGAGTACCATGGATGATTGCTACAACCATCTTGTATGCGTGAGCGAAGAATAACATTAACATTTTATTGTAGCAATCATATTACGACAAGTGACAGTCCTCAGTGTTTTCTTCGTGTACAAACAGTCACAGACAAACACGACGAATATACAGAAAATTATGTTCCAAATGTTCTTTTCGCTTTACAAAAGCACAAGCGGCTAGTCAATGTCTAATTAATTATTCAGTTCCGCTCGCTCATTCGGTAACTCTGTGGGAATGGGAGATGGATAAACGCGGGAATCAGATAGAATTTTTTCGGTTGACAAGTTACGCGGCACGAAACCCGACGTCTCGCGAATTGAGACGTAGTGAGGACCGATGAACGAGGATAATGCGTTCGACGGGGATGTCTGACGAGGGCGCGCACTTTGCCGGCGAGGGTAGCTCGCACCAGCTACGTCAGTCGGGGGCGACTTGCTGCGGCAAGCTCGATCGCACCCGTTTCGCCCGATCGCGCTGTAATCTAAATATCGTGGCTAATTGGAGGCTCGGCATTGTGACGCGCGCGCGCGTGCGCGCGTGTACATGTGTTTCTCTCGGCGGGATCGTTCGAGCGCCTCTCGATGCTTTTTGTTCGGGTGCCCCTCAGCGTGTCAGGCAGCGCCGATAAGTACATCTCGCGCTGCTCGTCCCACCGGCCGTGTCCTCTTAATTAGCTCATTAAATCCCGTAAACGTCTCCGGCGACCGGATTCAGTCGGTTCGCGTCATCCTCGCGCTCGATAATCCTGACAAATTGGTCTCTTCTGCCTTCCTATAACGGCCTCACCCTCCCTTTGATTTTTCGCAGCTATCGGACCCGACGAACCGTACTTGGACTCCGGCACTCTCGCTCATAGTAACGCCCGTGGATTTTCGTTGTAGTCTATACGTGCCAACATCCGAATTTCACGTGCTCTTGCTCTCTGTTTTCCTCCCCTTCCCTGTCCTCTTCCCCCTTTCTCTCTTGTCGTCCTCTATCTCCGTCTCTCTATTCCTCTCTCTCTCACGCTTTCATTTCAACTCCCTGAGTCTTTTGCAATTTTGTTCGACAGTGATACTCGGAATTATATGCAGAAGCCAGATGGAGCGAACGATTCGGGTTGTAATCCGAATTCGAGTGTCGCGCCCGTCCGGCTCGAATCCAATTTGTTTGCAATACCTGAAATATCGCGACCATCGACGCTACATGATGCGCGTTTTGGCATAGCCGGTAAAAGGTTTCTTTTTGGCGTAGCGTGTGGGCGCATGTGCGCGGTTTACAACGCAATGCGTTTACGAAGGTAATTGCACGCCGCACAAAGTAAACCCGGGACGAATTCGACTTGGTAATATGTCGTATAAAAGTTCGCGTAGTGCAATATTTTTTTTTCTTCCTTTTTTTGCACATCGCATACGTCCGAGCGTTTCGTTAAAGCCGGTTGGTACGACCGATTCTTGTCACGATAAAGCTATGAAAAAATATCTGCCAGAGAAATTGCAACCTCGGGGCAGATATAGCAGTCTCTATACAGAATTGCACGGAAATTCGAATTTATCCGCAAGAGATGGAGAGAGAGAAAGTGTGCCAAAACGCAGCTCTACTCCGATACAATTTTTTTCTCTCTTTTTTTTTTTTAGACGAAACATTTGTTTGAAACGTTTGAGCAGAAGATAAATTTTGCGAACAATCTAAATATCCTGCGCGGTAATGAAAAATGTTCCAAGAGTAACGTTTTTCGGCGTTTTCAAAGTAAAAAGACAATAGAAATTTCGTCGCTGCTTATCGAGCAGTTTCTGCGCTGTTTTTTTACATTGAAAAGCACGAAGAGATTACGCCAATCGACGAGCGAGTGGCCTAAACCGCGCCATTATTTGTGAATTCGGCATTGCACCGGTGACGCGTTCGGGTCGCGGTGCTCCGGGGCGGGTTGGGACGGGCAGCTCTCTCAAATCTGGTCGCGCCGTTATTTCCGTAGAAGACGAACATACAGCAGCTGAAGGAGGAGATACAGGAGAAATTGCCGGAAGCAACGGCGGACGGTAACGGAGGCACGTCGATAACCGGAACGAATTCGACGACCACAGGCACATTAAGGCACCGCAAAAACAGACCGGCGCCCCAGCCACCCCAGCGACCCAGTTCGCATAATGGGGCGATCTCGGCGCCGGAGCAACTCGAGATCAGGGCTCCGTCTGAGCTGCTCTTCGGGGTGCCATCCACCCTCAAGACGCAATGGAGGCACCAGCCGAAGACTCTAGTCACCGGCTGCGTCACGTATGTCGCTCACGTAAGTGCTCTCCACCGCTTCCCAACGTCGTCCACGTATCGCGCGCTAGATATTCGGGGGGTCTCTTTCTGCCGCTCGCTATTCTCTAAACATTGTTTAGGGAAGACCGGATGCTCTATATTTTAGAATTTCGAAGTTACTATTTCTCATACAACTAATTACTGTGACTAACTGCATAAACATAATACAGGCAACCTTCTTCTACGTATTAGTGCTCTACGTATTAATGATCTTGTTAATTCTATATTTTGTTTCGTAATAACCAAAATAGGAATATGCAGCAACATATTCATCTTGTTCAGTAGCGCAGGGTAAGGAGGCCACGTGTAAAATATATATTCTGATTAGTATTTTCAGAATCTCCAGGAGAGCCTCCACAGCCCTTCTTAATTATGGGCTGATTCTTACCGGTTCTTAATTGTGGGCCGGTTCTTACCGGTTCTTAATTATTTCGTTTGACCATATACTCTATTATTTTATAAAGGAACATTGTATTTATTACCAAAAACAGTATATCATACATTTGCAAGAAACTTCATTCTAGCTAGTAATATATCATTTAATTTTATTCAGTCACGACGGAGAATATTATTATAAAATTTCGAGAGATTCGAAAATTTACTTTGTTATTACCAAATCAGTTTTTTTTTTTATTTTTTAAGGCTCTTGATCAGCCGAGAATTCCGCGTTGATGGTGGTGACATGATTGTAAACGATAAAATGATGAACTATTAAGCGAGAAAATAGGTCTGTTTGTTTTCGAAGAACTTCTGCATTAGTGCAGACTATTGCAATAAGAGTTAGAGTGAAAAAGTATACTTGTCTTTCTTTCTCTCTAACTTATTGCAAATATCCAATGAAAATGAACAGACCTAATAATGTAAACAGACGACCAATTTCTTCTGTAAACCACAGCATTATTATTGAGTGTAGTGCGTGCATATCACATGTGATACAGTTGTGAAAGTATAGAAATACTCTGGATATTGTATTTATTGTAATATTTAATTCATATAAATAGTTTTCTGATATTGTGATATTTAATTCATATAAATAGTTTTCAAAACAAGGCAATTTATCACATTTATTTTGCGGTTATTTAGTTATTTGGGCAAAAGAGTATCCGGAGCATTTTACAAGTGTGTAGAACAGATTGTGAAAGTGTCATTTTAATGATATATTTTTTTATGTAGTCGTGGTTTACAGGAATTTTGGGCACGATTTTTCTCGTTTCTGACATTATCAATTTAATATGACCGCGGTGACTGATCAAGAGCCTTAACTATAATATTATTTCGATTTTAACTTAGGGAAAAGTATTTATGTTCTAAAAGGACCATTTCGCGATTTTATATCCATTATTCCTCTCAAGATAAATACTAAAAGAAGCATATGAATAACATATTTCTGGAACTATAGCCGCGGTCTTCCTTGTAGTTCGATGAGAACGGCAACAGGATCTTAATCGGATCGTATTTTTGTAGAGATTCTATTCCATGATTATTATTAACTAGATAGTAGCTCTGTTTCATTTCTCCAATTCAATTGTCTCGATATATGTATATGATAAGGTAAAAGTGCCCGGATATAAACTTGATCTTAAACATTCTTATTGTTTCGTTCTCTAAATATGAATATATATATCTAAATTTTTAATATGAAAAATACAGGGAACAGTTGCCGAAATCTCATACTTTATCAATCGTATATGATCTTGTTAAATATTTGTAGCACGCACAAAATAAGATATAATCTGAAATTTGTTGTTTATATTCCTCATTTTTCATGTTTTACCGTTAGATGTCGTTTATATTCAATAATAATAAACAAATTGATGAGATACAATGTAAGAAATCGGTACGTGCGCACGAATTGTTATGATTTCGCGAATTTTCCCTTATACAGAGTGTCCCAGAATAACCTTCGAAGCTCTCGTGGAGGCATCACGCGAGATATGGTAGATGAACTGTAGCAGCGACATCTGCCATAATGTGCTTCTAGATTAGGTCAAACCATGGACGAATACATGGACCACGTAAGAATACATGGACGGAGCGAATTGTCGTAGGGGAATGATTGTATGTAATGGAGTTCATATACTAAGATGACGACGGTCGCTGTTTTTATACAGTGGAAATAGATACAAAACTCCTCTACCACCAACATGGCGACGATGTAATCTTCTTGTCTCTTAGGTTTCACAGCCCTTCATCTATAATCGCACTTTGCACTCCGTCCATGTATTCTTACATCCATAGGTCAAACTGAACAAAAAAATCACCTATCTTTTTCCTTATAACTTTGTAAATTTTTAATTATTAGTTGGATAACATCAATATATTATCGCGAGCGACCAATCTTCTTTAATTGACATTCCGATAATTATTGTGAATATCGTAAAATGGTATAGGACATTTACTTTAATTCGTACTATGTCTCCATGAGAGTTTTGAAGGCTGGGATATCTTGTATATATGTTTTATACTAAATATTTAAAGAGATGACAAAATAATAAGAATGTCTAGAATTAAATACGTGGCCACGAATTGGTACCTTTGCGTTACGGCTTACGTAAGATGTTTCATTTGAGAAATGTCTTAATCGCATTGCTGAAAGGAAGGGTTATCCTCTCGAACGTTTGCAAGATAATCTTACCCGTCTTGTGTTAATTATGTACGACGAGTAAATTATGAGACTCGTTAAATCGGGGTCTTCAAGGTCAGCGTCGCGATAATACTTAAGTCATGGGCCACGGTAATAGGCTTCGTGCGGAAGATTGCCCTTTCTCTATTAACCCGTTAATTTCTCGGAATATTCCGATCTATAAGAGAGTCCATTTGCGCGTTCCGAGCGATTTAACTAAATAATATAGTTCGCGTGTGTCTTCCGTTCTCTTCACTGCGACCAATAATCTCGAGCAATTTCGATCGAATCTCCCGTCGTCTACGTCGGTTATTTTTCTTCTCAGAGGGAAAACGAGCTTTTTCTGTTTCTAAATAATACAGTACCTGGGCTCCACCGTCGTCAAGGAATTACGCGGCACCGAGTCGACGAAAAAGTCGATACAGAAGCTGAAGAAGACCATCCGAGAGCCCAAGCCCAACCCTGACATTACTCTGGCGATCTCTTATCGTGGCGTTCGTTTTCTCCACGCGCTGACTAACGTAAGGCTCCTTCCTCTCGCGGAAAATAACGCGCACGCGTACAACGAGAGAGTGTAGAGACAGACCTTGATCGCTTATCGTCATTCTGATGTACGACAGGAGCCGATTTGCGAGCACGAGATCCGCAACATTCATTGTGCCTGCCAAGACGCCGACGATCTCACTCACTTCGCGTACATTACGAAGGATCACGCCAGTCGCACGCACTTCTGTCACGTGTTTTGCGTGCCAACAATGGTAAATATCTAGTTTGCAGGCAACATCGTGCCTCTTGTGACTAGCCATACAACGATAACTCAATAATATCGATATACCGTAGATCAATATATCGATAATTTATCGATAACATTTTTTCTATATCTTTATATCGATATCAGTTTCAACAATATTTAGTGATTTGCAATTTGTCCTGTTTATACCTGATTTCACCAATGTCGATTAAATTTGCATTTGAGTTTTAACTCTTTTCAAGATAAAGATTACAACTCAAGTTAAGTTAACGAATTGGCGTAAACATAAACATAAAAATAAATTTAGACTGAAGAACCAATCAGAATATTACTTTAGATTTATGTATTCTAAAAGAAAACAGAACTGATGGTAAATATGATTGTAGATAGAAGTAACTAGTATTGTAGTATTGAAAGAAGCAAATCGAGTGCGAAAAGTGCAAGCAACACCAACAAATTAATAAAAATTGTATAAACTAGGGAATTTCATTTCATTAAATATTTTCAATATAAAAATCGATATTTCTGATCGATGATAATATCGTTATTGATATCTCAAAAAATCGTTGTAATCCTATTTATGACTGCGCTCTTTAAGGTAAAATGCTTAAACACTAATTACACTGCTGCCTAATTTTTCTTATTGTTTTAGTTTTTAAATACAAATGTTTAAACTTTCAGCGTAGAACATATATTTAATATTAAACGTTGAAACATTTGTATTTAATGATCAAACTAACAAGAATGATCAGAGTTAAACGCCAGTATCACTAGTATCTAAGCATTGGTACTTTTACCTCACGTTTTCTTGCGGTTTTCAATTTTGTATTACGACGCCTCAGGCGCATCCATCATTTACCTCTGTTACAGGATCAAGCGACAGAAGTCATCCTGACTCTGGGTCAGGCTTTCGAGGTGGCTTATCAGATGGCACTGAGGGACAAACTCGGCGGCCATGCAATTCGTTCTCAGTCCGCTAATCAACTAACAACGCTCACCGGATCGTCCAAGTCGACGACGACGACGATGACGACGGCAACGACTACGACGACGTCGACGACGACGACGTCCGGCAAGATGTCCGTGTCTCCCGATTCCGATCCCAGCCGGGACACGGATCATACCTCGTCTCTCAATTCCACGGCGTGCGCGAATCCCAAGGCGAAATCGCGATCGAAGTCCATACCCAATCCGAATCTCCATTCCGTTAATCCGAGTCCGGCACAGGACAGTAACTCCAACTCCAGTTCCAGCTCGACGACCACCGCGAACTGCAATCCCAGCTCGAATTCCGCCTCGAGCCCCAGCACGAACTCGATCACCAGCACCAACTCGAACAGCACCACTAATCAGACCACTAAGCCCTTGGTCACCCACGGCCGTTCTCATTCCGTCAACGACATCAAGGTAAACGGTAATCAATTGAAGTTAGCACCGGCGCCGGTGGACGACATCGGTATCGGGGTGAAGGACATGAAGCCCGGCTCCAGAGCCCCGATCGCTCTGTCCGAGGAGCTGTAAGCTGCGCGTCTCCGCTTGAAATGCATGAAATTGCGACGTATAATCGCGTACTGCACGATCGGACGCGTCAAACGTGACGCCTTCGCAGAGATCTTCTACTTCCCGCATTTTGTGTACTTCCTACTCGAGATGGAATTGCGATCCTTTCGACCTTTCAATTTCGCTTGCAAGGCGTCCATCTGTGGACGCAACGCTCGCATTTTTTCGTTACTCGTGCGAAATTTGCGCGAACAATCCTCGCGATTGTGAGATCGGTCACGGAAACATGGACGATATTTTCTCGGTCGACCAGTGCTCAGAGGCAAGGAGAATAATCAAAATCACACGACCGGACACTGCTAATAGTACAGTTCCTTGACGTGCAGGAAGGAATGAATCTTTTTTTATCTATTTTTATCCATTTTGTCGATTACATACTATATATCGGTGACATGTGCGTAACTACCGTAGAGCGTATACTCACACATATTTCAGCAGTAAAAGGCGAGACATGTAATCCGCCTGTTGCGAATGATTTAACGAATGACCGCGTACGGCCTCGAGGACGACGGAAGGTAAGTAGTCCTGTCGCTTCTCGTCGAAGGTCCTGCGTGTTTCAGGTCGATCTTCGAGCTGACACTCGACTGATTTCGCGACGTGTTGACATTGTGATCCGCACGAACCACGCCACGCTCAAAGTGCGTGTATCGGCCAAGGTGATATATATATATATATATATATATATATATATATATATATATATATATATATCGAGAGGCAACTAATAGATCGTTCGCCGCGCACGCTTCCGGTGAATGGCGGAACGCGTGTTAAATCTTTCTTCCTCGCGCGATGCGTCGTCCAAGTAAGCAGTATTACCGCGTCATTTTAATAGCAACAGCAGCAGGAGTAAGTGCACGCACGCGAGGAACGCGGAACACGCTCGGCACGATATAATCTAGCGAGGCGTGAAATCGCCGTGATAACGCTGCATGTCCGATTCTCAAACGCGGAGCTGTAATCCTTCGCGGACAGGGTCGGTCGGTTCTCGCATTCGTTTGTTCGTTCGTTCGTTCGTTATTCGACGTAGAGAGACCGGTCGTCTCTTTTATTTCTCATGAGAATGTTAATCGCGGGACACGCGTTGATATTCACCTCCGATATTCACGGGCCAAGGAGGAGGCGCGAAAGAAAGGAAAGGGTGCGACGCGCTGTGAAGAGCGCTGGAGATGCTCAAGATCGATCCCTCGCAAACGATATCGGCGACCAACGAACTCGTAACGTTTCTCCCCGCGCTCGCGTCCACCGAATTCCGTCAAGTTCCGATTTCGCGTCGCCGCCGTTACTTCGACGTTTTATTCTTCAAGACTGAGGGACTTTATCTCGTTTTGTATTTCGCGTTTTTAGTGTATAATGTATATTATATGTAGGGGGGAGGGGGAAAAAGGAGAGACAAGTGGTCTCCTTTAGGCGAAAAAAGTGGAGGACTTTAATGGTATATTTACTCGCGGCGAAGAGAGCTCGCGGACGCAGCGGAAGCGTGGCATACCGGACACCCATCGAGCTTTTCGTACTCGCTATGTACTCGTGCTGCTGGTGAGAAACGAGGCTCATGAGGAGAACACTTGCCGCGGACACGCGACGATCGATCGCACCGATTCGGAGTGTCGGTCGCACACACCGGATCTAATTAGCGAAGAAAGCGCGGTCAACTAATCTTTCCTTCTCTATTTGTATGATGTAACTAGCGATGTACGAGCTGGAGCGAAGGGACAGAGAAAGCGGTGGGTGTAATTGTATCGGTTGAGCCGAGTCTGTCGTTTCACAAACGCGAGTCCGACGTGTCGGCCGAGAATCGTGACGTCACGTGACGTCAGCGAGCCGTCTGTTAACGCGCGAACGCACACATTGTTCCGTTTTCGTACGACGTTGCGGGCCTAAAAACCTGGGTTGGATATCCTCGCGATACCACCCTGCTTAACGATACATCTGATGGCGATCTCGTGCGATCGACGACAGTATAACGAAGAGAAGCGAAACGAAACCGCGTAGATTTAGTGTGACAAGCCCTCTTTGTACATTTGTTTTTCTCGTCTGGAAACCAAAGAAGTATAAATACAAATGTATAAACATGCGAACACGTACGTACATATTCACACATATACACACACATACACACACTTATGTGAAGTTCCCTTCACGCGGGGAGACGGAAAATCAAACGGAGCTTAAAGACGATCGTCGCGGAGGAGGAGGGCAAGGATGAACGACAAACTGCCAAAACGATACACCACGGATCACCTCGGTAGCTATATACGCACACTTTGTATTTATCATGTTTACAACGTAGCTCATTATTATCACAAGATTAACCAGACTAAGATTGTCTGGGGATTCAGCCGTGGGCTTCAACGGCGGCGTTTTCCTTCTTCGCGAGACATTACCTAAGTATTCCACGCATTCTATGTACTCATGTAGCAGCTATGTTTAGTCAGTAGTATTGGTAGGGAGCATGTTCTATCGATGTGTGTCGACATTTAATGATATGATACATATAAGAAACGAGGAGGAGGAGAAGAAGGAGGAAGAGCAGGTACGTAGTCGTAGAAGTTTAGTCACTGATGATCGCGTGATGACCTTTTTCGTCCACGGCGAACGGACCCCACCGAGAAAGTGGGAGATCAAGTCGATGTGTGTTCGCGTTTACGAGTCAACGCGATGGAAAACGCGGTTGCATTCGAAAATAGTACAGTGCCAACGCGCGAGCTATCGCGTGTACGCGCTCGATGCCCGCTCGATTCGAAATCTCACCTCTTTGTCTTGCGCGAGAGTATTTTGCAGAACGAAACGCGTGATTTCCCTCTCGCATTTGTCGACACGACTCTCGTGTGTTGACTGGCGCGCGTTCTCGATGATCACCGATATCCCACGCGATGAGTCGCCGCGCTCTACGTACATAGAAGAGAGGTGAGAGATATTGATAAGAATGCATAAAGAAAAGGCCATATCAGCGGCGTGAACCACCTAATGCTTGGATACGTTGCGCGGCGCGACTTTTCCAACCAGCAGTCCTTTTATAAACCTCGCCTCCATCCTTTCATCATGCATCGCGTCGTCACGCTGATTTATTGGACAGACAAACCCGAGACATCGAGGTCGAGACATCGACTCCTCGCGGTATTATCGCGCGCGCGCAATGGCTTTTCGAAAGATGTCACACGTAAATCGCACAAAACAGAAGATTGATTCTCGGACCAAGCAAGAACGCGGAAACATTTTGCTCGTTCCGGACGTTTATCGTTGGGATATTCGGGCGCGGTGTGTCACACTGCGCTTCTTCCCTGTATTTTTTTTCTTCGCGAAGGTATGAAATTTAACTGTGTGTCCAGTTGGTACCGATAGCGGTGTCAGATTTGTGCTCTGTCGATATCATATACGATTTTTAGAGTACGTATATACATATATATTTGTACATATATATATACACATACACATATACAGACATACACGTAGAAATTACACGGACCACCGCGAATCAGTTTCTCTTGTTAATACCAAAGAGATTGTGGGTGATTTCTTCTTGTCATTGTGATTTGTACATTCGACATTCGGTTATCGTAGAGTAGCGAGATTGTTCTTTTTATAAACACGATTTGTCGTTTTCACATGGCGACTTATACACGACCTGTACGAATTCTCGTCGTGCATGATTCCAAAGGGCTCAAAACACAGCGCAATTATTATCAGCAGCGCCATTTTTCAAGCTCACGCCTGCTAATTTTATGTGGCGCCGTGTGTAATTGCATAATCGAATGCATTTATCGCGTGCACGTCAATCCTATAAACGCGAGAGTTTCGTTTGCTTTACGCCAATCAAATTTGCATAGCAAATGCGTTTTGACGCGTCGTCGATTAACTCGACAAAGGTCCCCGCTACACACACAGTGCAATTCGCTAAAGTACATTTATATTTCCTTGAATAGAGGTTTATAGGTTCATAGATGATATCCGCATAGATGATAGATAGAGCGATATTTTTTAAACTGTCGCAACATGACACATCGTAATTTATGGATTCATTTCTGTATATTTCTTTCTTCTTTTTTTTTGTTATTATCCACCGAACGTTGAGACAATAAAATATGATGTTTTGTTAGCACGTTGTTATTTTGTGTGTAATAAGGCCGACCATTTTAGAAGCCGCGGATCGTACAATGCCGTTTCGACAATGGCAGTTTAATTAATTCTATGCATAAATGCGAATCGCTGTAAACTGATTCCGGCGGTGGTGCGTATTCGCGGTCCTTTGTGTGGTTAATAAAACCGGAAAAAGAAAAAAACTCCAAAAAAAAGGGAAAAGAGAAAAAAATCTATGTACAGTTGTCGATATTACCTTCGTACCGGCCGTGAATTCGTGCGCTTTTGAGGCCGTAGTTGGATGCATTTCGCGGATCGTTGCAAAAATGCGAAATGCAACTGTTCCTGATTCTCGCGTGTAAGCAGGAATATTAAAGCCGCGGGAGTTAATATATATTTCGGGGGGCACCCGAACTTCCGAACTTTTTAATATACGAGAACTCTCCGCGCCGATCTAGTCCCGGGAAGTTAATAATACCTAAAAAATGATATTCCCCGGCATTATATAAACGTGTACCTGGCGCCGACGAGCGAGGACTCGCGAAGCGGGACGAGAGTACACGAGAATAATACGCGCGCGAGAAACGAGCGCGCGGCTCTCGCGAGGCAAATAACGACGGTTTCTACATTCGCGAGTAAACGTAGAAAAACAGAGGAAAAAGAAGAAGAAAACGCTTTCTTGTTCGGTCGCGCGCTTCGGCCAGCTGAAGACTTGCGATTCGTACAATCGACGACGCGTTGTCGGCAGGGAGTGCGCGTTCGTCAATTATGAGCCGGTTTATTAACCTTTTCAGAATGGGGTTTTCCTTTTAAGAAAAAGAATGTTAAAATGACGATTTTATTGTACTAAACAATTTTATTGTACTCTTTGCTTTTGCGTGACAAACTTCACCAGAACAATTAATAACACAGAACCCGATGTTATGTTCCTTGCACTCGAATTTAAAACTTTTGGTCGCCATTTTTTTTACTTCAATACTATAAACAATGCATTCTCTTGTCTTGAAGTTATGATTTTTTCGTAAGTGGGGGACATATATGTCTCGCACGAAAGAGTTAAAATCTCGACATTTTATTTGATTGTTTGCAAAATGCCAGGAGTGCACATATTCAGGTTGACGTTCTCTACACACGTGGTTTTGTATGTCTCGCGTCAGTCACCCTGCATGGAATACGTCGACTTTCGATCGATCCAAAGATTGAAGCTGGTTACGATTTCGACGGCCCGAGCTCGTATTTCGATTTAATTCCTAGTGCCGTCGATACTCCAGAGAGCAACTCGTTCCTCTGACACTTTGCTTCGGCCCCACTCGATCCCAGCAATATTATCTTCTACATTCTCTTCGTAAGTGTATATGTATAAAAAGGGCAAAGACTCGAGAGGACGGGGGATTTTAGCGCTTTTAAGAATCGTATTCGTGTCTTCATTGTGTAACGCTGCTGTTTATTAGCCGGGTTAGGTATATCGCGCAGCTATATTTTTCTTCGATTCCAATTGAGATTGCGTGATTACTCATACGTAGATTTGCGACGTCTCGCAAACTGAGAAGAAAAAAGAAGAAAGAAAGGAACATCAACGAACTCTCGGAGACTTGAGAGGATCCGCCGCGTGTATCTGTGCGGTTCCTCTCGTGATTCTCATCGCTCTTGCAACGAAGAGAGTTGGCGGTAGGTGCCAAGCGGAAACCTCGTCACTGCCGAAAACGAACGACTTTATTCGTTGGTATCAACATGCATCGGAGACTCAACGAGATTGTTATATATACTTTACGGCTCTTTTGGCAATATAATAATTTACTCGGCTATAACGATTGTATGTTGCGCTTTCTCGTGCCGCGGTATCGACAGCAGTTGCTTGACACGTGTCTGTCCGTCTGTCTGTCTGTCGTTTGCGTAAAATAACGACACACGTGGTGTCTACCTATTTGTAATCACCTAGATTGTTGCGCGACGTGTATATACACGCGTCGGAACGACTCTTTGTTAGCGTCATTTTTCTATTAGCGCCCTAAGCTGTACTCTGTAAATTTCCAATTCTCGATAGACTACTCTTCTCTCGTTAGAGACAAATTAGGCGTTTTGTGCGGCGGCTTGTATCTTCTCAGAATATTCGTTCGGGGCTGCGCTTGAAGAATTACACCGTGACGGAATATTATCATATATCGCATCGGCTCGACAGGCTGACGAAATAATTGGGTCATACAGTAACAAAGAGGATAAATAAAAATGAAAAAAAAACGAACACGTAGACGACGAATCTTCACTCGCACGCACATGTAGAGGTGTACATAGCAGAAGGGGAAAGGGGCGAGAGTAAATGTAAAATAAGTGAACTAGAAGCGATTTAAAAGTCGGAATGCTGTAGCGCGAAATGTCATGATCGCTGGGACGGAAGAGCGGGCAAACCTGGTATCGAATGGTCACGCTTTCGGGATCGAATGTTGCGCGGATCGTACATTCGAAAAAAAAATCTTTTTTTTGGACGCTGGAACTCCGCTTGTTATCTCTCGCACAGTCGTTATCGTAAATATTAGTTCGTGTTAATCGAAGTTGAAACGGTCTCTCGTTCTCTACGCGCAGGGGAATCGCGCAGAAAGGCGGAGGGAAGCGGATTATCAATTAATCGAATATTAATCAATAGGCATTAAACAGTCTCGACCGATTCCGCCGCCTCCCTCACGCCTCCCTCATGATAACGATGAAGTAATATTTATCGGCAACGACGTAAACACACCGGTAGCGCAATCTGTCAATGTGTACACGGAGTGTTCATCGAGTCTCACGAATAGCTATAATGCTGATCATGAAATGGCTGATGGATAGTCGATAGTTGTACGGATGTATCGGAAGTATCTGTGCAGAAAGAAAGAGAGAAAAAGAGGGGAGGAAGGGAAGTCATGAAAACCACTTTTCTATGTAGCATTCGCCGCGCCGCGCCGTTCAAGGAAATAATAAGTTTCCTACGAGTCATCCGTTTGTCGTTACGCAACAGCATTTCGGTAGCATCTGGCCGCGGCGTAGCAGTCGTCATCATGTGTCGGAGATTTTTGGCAATAAAGCGAACGTGAGTGTGCGATAAACACTCTGACGGGCGCGAGCAACGTAATTGCGACCGCCGCTTAATTGCATTTACGTCTCGCTCGTAGAGCTGTCGATTCTCGTAGAGTAGAGTAGTGGTGATAGATTTTTGCTCGCCTTCAACGCCCCCCTAAACGGGCGCGATTCGCTGTCGTCTGGGAGTAGACGAGATTCTGTATTATTTCGGACCACGAGAGGAGAGCACAACACCATCGTCGTCGTGGGACACACGCGACACGCTGCAATTGATTGAGGAAAGGTAGGAGTACGACGCGATGGACGTTGAGAGGCGCGGATACGCCTAGGCGACTTTTCACTTTGTAACATTTATACCATTTCTCCCGATAAGTGTGGTTCGCACGATTTATATTCGTGTCGCCTCGCAAAACAAATGAGACACGAGTCATAAGCGTCATAAATTCAACGTGAAACGTTGAGCGTCCGATTTCGAAAGCTCCACGCCGACGTCGATTACGCTGTGTTCCTACCTTACGCTTATCTCGTGTTACAATAGATATCAAGGCGCTTACGATAATCGATCTCGGGATATTTTACGATTTGAGGTGGCAGGAAATAGTGTGTGGCTTGATTGTTGTGTATTCTGAGGATTCGCGGTGGAATAATAAAGGAGAGGAGGGAGTGTGTGTACTCGCTATTCGTGGCGACCTTGCGACTCGCAACGCCGACGACGTCGTTCCTCGTTTCTCGACCGGACGAAGCCTCGGGAAGTCTCAGAACGTTGGCGGTCGGGGGTGAATGGGATATTCGTCGGGAAAACTTGGCGCTATGAATATTTATGTACGCTTTACGATCTCACGCGCGCACTCGAGAAGTCCGGCGAGTCGGCGACGAGTCGAGAGACACAGGATTTGTGCGGTCGAGTGTAAGTACGTACTCAAATATGTAGAGAGAAAGAGAGAGAACGCAAGCGAGCGAGAGTGAGAACGAAAGAGCGAACGAAAGAGAGAGAGAGAGAGAAAGAGAGAGAGAGAACGAAAGAGCGAGAATGAGAGAAAGAGAGAGAGCAAGCGAAAAGACACGTGCGAATATAATCGGTGTCTTTCGAAATCAAAAGAAACAAATCCGTACGGAGCTGTTGCCGAGGATGCCATATAATAAATGCGCTATTTTATACCGAGCAGCCTGATTAGACGCAAACTTCCTACGTTCTTGTATACATTATATTTATTATTGTTCATGTTTACTAGAATGATATATATATGAGACAGAGATTATTCCCTGGATATCTATAACGCCTTGAAGAAGAATAAAACAGATACTTTGCGGGGACGTTGTTGTGAATTTATTCGACCTCGATGCAAGTCCTTCTTTCTTGATTCAGAATTTTATTATTTTGCTAGGATAAATCCCCACCCATTTTAAGTTTGCATCAATAGTTGTTACTTGAAACTTGTTTCAAGTGAGACTTTCAGATTTGAACTTAGAATTAAATGTGAGTTTTTCAGTGGAATATACAGGGTGTCTGGTAACTCACGAAGGAGCCGCGGTGTACAAATAGATTAGGTCAAACTGAACAAAAAATTTCTTCACCATTTTGCAAACAACCACGTAAAATTTTAAGTTATTAATCCATAAAGATTCGTGAATGATTATGTGCGCCATATGGTAGATGAACTGTAATGGCGACGTTTGTCGCTATATGCTTGCATATTAGGTCAAACTTAACAAAAAAGTTCTTTACCATTTTCCAAATAACTACATAGATGTTTAGTTATTAATTAAAAAGGATTGGTGCATTACCGCATACCACTGTACATCCAATTTCTTTAATTAATAAGTAAACGTACGTGGAAAATGGAAAATTTGGAAAATGGTGGAGGACTTTTTTGTTCAATTTGACCTAATATACAAGCATACAAGTATACAGCTGCAGCTGTCGCCATTATAGTTCATCTACTGTATAACACGTGATCATTCACG